TTTTTTTTTTTTTATCTTTTTTGCTTCCATATCATCTATACGACCCTGCTTCGCAACAGTAAATTAGTAAGGGTGAGTAATCAAATTCTGTACTTGTTCGAGTCAAATGTATTTATGGGACTTTTAGATGCTATGTTAGTTTTTTTCTATAATTTTATTTCCAGCCTAATAATCATTTTTGTATTTTACTTCATAAGTGGTTTCGGCGTCATCTCGCATCATTTCTTAGTCAGAGAAAAACTTCGTCTTTACAATTTCAGCTGTGATAAAAATGATACCAAATACGGGTCAGGCTTCGTCACAGTATGTTTTATCACAGCAACAGCATCTCCAACAGCAACAGGCAGTTGGGACAGCGCGTGTGGGACCTTCAAATATCCAGCAGGCATCAGTGACAATAATGCCTCATATTGATAGCTTGATTAAAACTTTATCTGATGCTTGCCAACGTGATGATCTAAGATTAAAAGCTTTACAGGTAAAAGATATTTCTAGCTTTTATCTTGATTGCTTCTTTGAAGTGCCCTTTTAAATTTGAAAACATTTTTTACCTTGTTTGTACTTCCTCAATTACAAAAAACGTTTAATTTGATGTTCTGTTACATTTAGGAAATTAGTAACAGTTTTGAAGAAGTGTCACTCACTCCTGCGTATCATTCTCTTATCAGCAACTTATTGAATGCTTTTTCGAAGATTTTCCAGGATACCGTTCCTCAGTTTATTGCTGAGAATAATACGCAGGTAAGTAAAAATTTCTTGGGTGCCAACGAGAATAATCTAATCCCTTTTTGGGGTAGTTATTTTCGACTGTGAAAAATTTTTTTTAGAATAATAGTACTTTCATGATTGGGTCAAATACATCGTCTGACCTTGTAATTATTTTGCTGAGAAGCTTTGGTACGACTTTTCATCTAATTTAAGTTATATCGTAATTGCAGTGCTATTTAATGCGTACTGATAGCTCAAAAATTTGAAAATTCTTATATTTGATTCTTTAACAGAAGAGGTTTTCAGCAACTGCGTAAGCTTATGTTGGAAATAATCCTAAGAATGGGTTGTAATGAGACTGTCAAGCAACTTGCAAAGTCGGTGCAAATTCAACTTGTAAAAACAATTCAGACTGAGAATGAGGAAAATGCTCTTATAGCTATGAAAATAATGACTGAACATATGCGTGGATTTCGTCTGCAGTTCTTTCCAGAGGTACGTGGAAAAGTGTAAATTTTATTTGTAAGTATTTAGCTATAGGCTGTGTTTTGAAAATGCTTCTGTTACCTCTGTTTTTCCTGGAGTTTTTAAAAGTTTATTATATGGTTTTTGGCAAATTTTTCTGTCTTATCGCATTCTATTTCAAGGATTTTGTTAAACCGATTAAAACGGTACTTTTAACTCAATATGTGACGTAATTATTGCTTTCCCATTTAGGTCTCAACACTGCTGTCTCATTTTAAATCTATGTATCAAGAAATGCCTCATAATGTTAGTGAAAGAAGGATGTTTGAACAACGCAGTCAGATAAATCATACTGGAACAACATCTAACACGGAAGAAAGTATTATTGAGTCGGTAAGACATAAATGTTTTTAGTCCTTCCATTCAAAAAGTCGGCAAGTAGAGTTACGTTATCTGAAATTTTTATGGAAATGTTTCTATAAATTTTGTATTGCCGTTCAGTCGTAATGATTTGTTTTTAGTCTCTTCAATACTGCTTTACACATACAATTGTTTATCTTCCTGAAAGCAATCCAGAGGCTGTTCAGCCAAGTGGTTATTCTTTGATTCCTAGGGCATCACAAAGTATTAAGGTGCTGGCAGAAATCCCTTCCTTCTTGTTAACTCTTTGTCAGCTACACCGACATAATATTAAAAATGAGGTAATTTTGGATAGTTTCTTTTTGTCTGCTTTTTCTGTTGTTGTTTTCATGTGGATTCGAGTTTCATTATGCAAAATACGTTTTTTCTTTTTTTTTGCCGTTGATACTATTACATCCTAACTTTTCTTATACTTTTTACACGGTGAAATAGATAACTTTGTTTTTAGTCTAGATCTTTTTACATTAAAAATTTTAGTTAACGGACTTTATGCCTTTAATCATTCAATTTGTGAACTTATCTATTCCTGCCGACCAAAAAGCCAGTCAAATATTCAGTATGCCCTTAGCTGAAGAGTTTTACAACTCTCAAGTTCGAGCTTTGAGCTTTCTGGGGATTATGGCAAAAACGACAGTGGTATTTTGTTTTTGTCATTCGTAAATCTTACTTATTTTAGTAGTATAAATTTTAATTTGAAGATTTTTGCTAAATTTCCGGGTAGGATTTCAGTAGTTTGGCAAAGAGTAGTTGAAGTGTTCATTTAATTTTATATATGCACAGTGCAAACCTTATTTCAGTTTAATATGACCGAAGTTATGAACAGACACTCAGCTTCTTTAATACAAGGAATAGTGCAATTAATGGAGCGATGCCCAAACGACACTTTATCAATGCGTCGTGAATTAATCACTACTGCGAGGAATTTCTTTCAGTGCGATATGCGTACAAAATTTATACCAATACTCCCACGTCTTTTTAACGAAAGTCTGTTGTTGGGGACAGGGTTTACAGTTGTTGATAACATGAGGTTTGTTTTTGACGAACAATTCTAAGCTTCACTTGCAGGTGTTGATTAGGATAATTTTTGCAAATCTTGTTATTCTTTCTCCTTCCTACACACATAGTTTTAATGCTTTTTTTAGGACTCACTTGTATACTATATTAGCCGACCTTGTACATCATCTTCGTACTAATCTCTCCTACAACCTTTTATGTTGGTAGGTAACAGTTAATTTCATTTAAAGATATTTTTTTGTCCCAAATCAGTATTCTCTTCGACAGTACTCAGAAAAGTTTCTGTTACTGTTAGTTTGATAAATGTTCTGTAAAATCTAGCTTTCAAATGGATTTTTTTGAATTGTTTTTGCTCTGCTTATGGTTCTGTTTTATCACGATTCTGTCCTTAATTGAATCAGCTTATTGAAGTTTCTTCGTATTTCAGTTCTGTATATACATTTGTTAGAAGTATACATGACCAGTCACTACCTCCTACTGTGCAGTCAATGTGCTGTAAACTTGTCATGAACCTCATTGATTCGTTTGTTGTAATCGAGAAAGAACACCCAGAACAACCGGTAATGTCTGTGACTCTAACATTACTCAGTTACTAATTATGTACAGCTGTACTTCTCTCATAGGAAGCGTTTCTACGCCTTATGGAGTATTACGGTAGGTTATGGAAATAAAAGACTAATTTTTAGGGCCGGGATATATTGCTGTGGATTATGGAAAGTTATGTTCGGAAATTCCGAGTACTTGCCGAATATCATGTCCCGATGCTTATCGCTAGAGATGGCGCAAACATACCCGACTTGCGTTTTAAATCAGACGAAAGGATTTCTCGGCTAGTTTTCAGTTCTTTACTTCAATTTTTTACCATTATTAACAGTTTATTGAAATGTGTTTATAGTCTTTATGATAAATTTTCAAATTTTCCACTTTTGGATTTTATGGGGGTTTGGTTTTTTTAAGCATTATCAAGAAAAACGAGAAACTGTGTGCGAGGTCTGGTGACATAGATGGAAGAAAAGTGTGTGGACCAGTATGTTGTTAGAATGTTCTGTAATTTTTGAAAAGAAGTTCTTGGATTGCAACATCTTTAATTTTGCTAAATCAGGAATTTGGAAAAGAACTTACACCGTCAAGTGTAGGAACGGCTGTTGGTGATTCTGAAATGGAATGTACTTCAAGTTTAGAGAGGGATGGTACACACTGCTGTAGCGAATTACCTCCACCAACAAAATTTGGGAAGGTGTAGTAGATTTTTTGTTTAATCATTTCGAAGAGAATGAATTTGTGTATGAGTCCAAAAACTTTATTGCCACTGACTTTGATGTTTTCAGTTACAAACCCCAAATGAAATCCTGGTTCATTATTGGGCGTTAAATGCGCCACCAATGACATTTAGCGATGCAAAATCAATGTTGCGGGTTCTGGCACAGGCTTGCAAGCATACTGTACATGGACTTAACAAAACTCATTTAACAAACCGTTAGTTTCTTTTGTTTATTTATTAATCTACCCGGTTTCTTGGGGGGCTTTGGGCAAGGGATCATTTGTAATACGAAAGTCTCTGAAAGTTATTGTCAAGACTGGAATTTCTTCTCCAGTTCTGTGATGATGTGAAAAGCTAATTTTGAAGCCCTTAATTCTTAACTAACTTTTTAGTGAGCCCATCTGCGACGCATGAAGCAAGGTTAATGGAACGCCTATTTTATTACGGCTTGAAGTGTTTGGACGCATATGTTTTAGCGCCTCTTTATCCGGGTGTTTTTATGCCGTCTCCCTCTATGCAAAAGTTGGTTTATGTTGTATTTCAAATTTAACAGTTATTTTCAAACAGCTTCCTAACAGCACAAACTTGACATTATCAAGTCGTTAAAGTTGTTACGTTCTAGTCACTCTATAAATTTTTCTGATTATCGGTGAATGCGGTTTTATTATTCCGGTATACATTTGAGGTCTGGTTTCAACGGTTATCGTTCTAAAGATGAGAAAGAGGTTTTGGAATGCTTCTCTGGCATTTTTACTGCTTTGAATCCAACAATGTTTAAAGGCATTTTTTCAAAATATATTGAGGTCAGTTATTTATGTTGTTATCTTTTGCTAAAATTTATTGTAAGAAAATGAACGTTTTAAAACATCTGAATTTTTAGTTTTTTATTGAAAGAATATCGCGAAATCCCTCACTACAACTAATTTGTAATGCCTTTCTTGTTACTCCTTCGACTTCAGCGAAGTGCGCAGACGTGTTAATTCGCTATCTGATGAAGAAACTGCCAGAACTATCTGGTTCATTTTCAAGTCCTATATCTCAATTTATCTTTTTCAAATCCACGTGGCATTTAGAAAGTAAATTTTTACTCGGATTTCTTTAGAAAGTAATGATATGACCACTTTGTACCTGAAGCTGTTCAAACTCGTTTTCTCTTCGATATCGAGTCAGTCAACGGGATCTGGTTGCGCTGAAATTGAGAAGATGCTACAAGTGATATATTGTCATATTTAACGACTTGTATATTTAACTCTTATCCCGTCTTGACTGGAAATTTTTCAAGCTTTGACATCTTTCAGCCTTATCTCCACGATATGGTTTATGAATCTATGGAACTAGCACTTCGTGGTCGTGAGCCAATGAATTACCTTCTGCTTTTGAGGGCTCTGTTCAGGTATCGGTTTTTTTTTAGAGAGCATTTGCTGTCGCAAAAAAAGCGTGTCTCGCTTTCCCTACGCTTTTGAAGTTGATTTTTATGGCATATTTCTGTTATAACTTTAGAGATCGAAAGGGTTGAAGGTAGTAGAGTGGGATTTGAGGTGCTGGTTGAGCAGTCAGGTAATGATTCTAATTTCTGTGGCATTTTGAGATTATAGAGTATTTTGATGGTTTTATTACCACAATTGAAAGTTTGTTTTAAACGAAACACACAGTATATCTTATCAACTGATGCTGTTTAAAAAGCAGTTTCTTATCTCAGGACGTTAGAGTGACGTCGTGAGAAGTAAAAGGACTATGTTGAAATGATACGAAGCAGAGTATAGTAGGGCAGGCACACGAGTTGAAAGAAATTCTGGAAAAATTGTTGTCCTAATTGTGCAGAAATTCTGTTAGTTGTATTTTCAGAGCGATGAGGTTTCTTTAACATTTTTTTGGTATAAGGCGAAAAAGGGTGTGTAACAAAAATAATAGAGGTTCCTGCGTTTAAATTTTGAGTAAGAATTCTGAATGCGTTGGGGTTGCGTCCTAAGCTTGTAATTTGGTTGCAGCGATCTTACAATTTATCTGGATATCTTTGAACTTTGCAGGTCGATAGGGGGCGGGAATTATGATTTGTTATATCAAGCTTTTCTCCCGTTATTACCTACTTTACTTCAACAGATAAATCGTTTACAAAGCAGTGCGCATCGGCAACAAATGAAAGAAATTTTTGTTGAGCTTTGTTTGACTGTACCTGTAAGGCATGTTTTTTTTTTTTATTTTTTATTATGACGTATTTGGTATAAAAGTATGTTAGTTTATCTTTTACTAATTGAAACTTCATTTTTCAGGCTTTCAGCTTTACTGCCTTTTCTGCCGCTTCTCATGGATCCTTTGGTTTGTGCTTTAAATGGAAGCCCACCTATTGTTTCTCAGGTAATTGTTGGATGTATTTAGTCTTTTGAACGCCTTTCAGGTCGTAGAAGAGAATAAAGTCGTTTTTTGTTCCTTCTTTTGGTTTTAAAAAATATTGCCCTTTAGTTTTTACAAGCAAATATTTTTGGTTAGCTGACCTCGAAATATTCTTATTTTTTTGTTCTTTTCTTTTTTTTTTTTTTCTGTAGGGCCTGCGCACTCTGGAATTGTGTGTCGATAATCTTCAGCCGGAATATCTGTATGAACATATGACTCCTGTAAGGGCACAGTTAATGCATGGATTGTGGAAGGCTCTTTCAGACGGAGATGCTGGCACTCATCCACGTGCTTTTAAGTAAAAATTAAGTGGTTTTTTCCTAGCTATAAAAGTTGTTACCTTACGAGCAATATTTTGTAGGATACTTTGTAAGTTTGGCGGGTCGAATCGAAAAATGCTCTCCGATCCTCAAGAACTAATTTACAATTCAAAAGTCTCACCGTTTTACCCTGCTTTTGAATTGACATTCCTCCGCACCCTTCCAACTGCAATTGCTCCAGACGATCCACGGTTCTCGGTAAATGTGTATTTCTTCAACTTGTTTTTTGGAAAGATATAAGATTCGATCGAAACTTTGGTTTTTATCTTGTTCCTCATTTTTCACGAGAGTCTGAAGATTTGTTGATTGTCTATGTTTGTCATATTCTGGTTATGTTTGACATTACAGGAAGGTGGAAGCGACCCTTTGCGTTGCTCTTTGAGCGTAAGAGAATTGGTTGCATCTGCTCTCGAGAACTTACGCTCTCCGTTTATCTTGGATCCTTCTGTAACTGTTTGCGCTTCCCCTATGCAGCCTTCAACGCGTATCGGCTACAGTTTAAGGCGCCACTCCTTTATACTTGTGCGAAGTGTAATTTTATGTAGTTTTATGCCGCGAAATCCCAACTTGCTTCAGAACTCATTGCTGAAAGAACGACTTCTTAGTGAACTTGAGGTACCTCATTCACTAGCTTATTAAACTGCCTTACAACTTTTAAAATTCATGAATTTTGGTTTATAGACAGGTTCAATTAAGTATCAGCAGCAAATTTTGAAGAAAATCCTCTAACATTCACGTCAGATTCTTTTGAAATTCTGTGTTTTAGGGCATTAGAAATGATGCGCGTTCTTACGCTCATAACACTTTCAAATGTTCTGACAGTGAATCTCGGTTGTTATACATTGATGCTTTGCAAGGACTTTTCTGTTTGTTTTTTTTCTTATATTTTTTGGATTTGACAGTTTATGATGTGTTGTAGTTCGACTCAGGGTATTTTAATTTAGACGCATTCGTTTCTCGAGATTTGAAAGATGAAGCTGCTGATTTGTTTAATAGTGTTATTCGTCAGTTAACAATTCAAGCTGTGTTTGAACATCGTGCAGGTTTCTTTTTACTTGAACTTCTTTGTTTTTTGAATTTGACTATCTTTTTAAATTATTATATGGAGGGATTTGATATAATTTTGATTCGTTATTACATAGAAGAACGAGGACTGAAAAAAATCGATTTTGATGAATGTATGGATGGATCTGTGCTTGTGGATGTGTTAATGAAGGTCTTTGCTGACCCTTGTAAAGAGGTCTCAGACTCAGCAGTTCAAGCTTTATCGCTAGTAAAGGAGACTTTAATGACCTTATATGGTGTAGCAGGAAAGGTAATTCTACTTTTATAAATCCTGTTTCAAAGTGTTTTCATTTTTCTTGAAAGTTAATTATGCTTCAAGTCATAAGTGTAATGGTTTACAAAAAATTACTTTAAACTGCGGCTTGATGTTTTGTCTGCTTTTTTTTGTTAATTCAAAGGCTGAGTCACAGTTTTTTGTTTCTAAAAAATTAGCATGCGAATTTTTTACCACGAATATTTTACGAACTACTTTAGGATATTTTAGGCTCTGCAGTCTCCCTTATTTCGAGAGCTCTTTTATAAATGTATTTCTTTATGTTACACTGATGCTTGGTACGCTCGGCTTGGAGGGTGTTCAGCTATTAACTATCTTTTGACAGTAGCAACTCAAGATATGATAATTGAAAATGCAAAAGAAATTCTTTCTGCGCTCTTTGAGGTGAGCTTCTCAATATTGAAGAACATTTTCGAAAGTTTTGAGCTTTACTTAGTGAAGGATTCTTAAGGTTATCGTTGGTTTGAGCGATGAAGTTTCTAGCTCAGCAGTTGACATGTCTATTAGTGCGCTTGGAAAGCTTTTGGAGGTTTGATTTTTAAAGATTCACCAAAACTGTAAATCATCCGTGCTTGTTGTTGATTAATTTAGCGTTTTTGAGATAGCTGCATAAGTAACTTTTTTGTTTACACTTTTACTTCAGGCATGCTTTGCTAGTGGTTCTAATCAGCTAGATAAATCCTTTGTTGCCGAGACTTTTGTTTATCAGGCAGTTAAACATCTTGCAGCTCCATCATCTGTGTTGAGGAACGAGGTACTCATTCACTGTAAACATTTTCTTTTATCTGTAGTTTGTTTCAAGGAAATTTTTTACGAAATTGAAAGTTAAAGGAGAAGTTTTGATGTTAAGAAATTTCGCTGACTAGCTGGTTTTGTTTCATTTTATTTTTTTTCGTTTCCTGCTTCAATGATTATTATATCGGGTTAATCTGTTAGCGATTTTCTCAAGTATTAAAATAAAGTGGGTATGCAAAAATGAAGCGAGTTTTCAGCATGAAAGACTGGAAGCTGATTTTATCTTCACTTTTGTCATGTTTACTTTAACTGAAAACGATTGGTATTTTTTGATTTTCTAACTTCGTATTGTTTTTTTGCTTTGACTAAACCACTTTGGATTTTGTATGGGTAAGCGCCCTATTATACAAGAGTCATTCTTTATGACAACATTATATAAGCCATTTCTGCTCGTGAAAATTGATTTCAACTCTGCTTCTTCAGTGTCGCAAGCTACTCTCCAAAATTGCATCATTGATGGAAGTGTCTTTAAGTGAACTACTTGTTCCCCAAAAGTCTACTATTCAAGGCGAACTGCAATCTGGTTATGCAGATTTTGTACGATTGTCACTTTTCCATCAGTCTGCATTCTTGGTTTGTCTTCCTTTTTGAATTAAAACTGTTACCCTTCCTTTTGGCTTGGTAGAATTTTTTGGTTTATAAAATTTTTTTATTTTCTTTTGCTGTTTCCTCTAATTCGTTTCTTCCTATTTAGGAGTTTTTTGAGTTTGTTTATTCACTCGAACCACCGTTAATGGCATTTTCTTTCAATGGAGCTCTTGAATCGCGATTTATTAACGAATTATTTTTTATATGTGACACTGACGATTCTGTTTTGCTAAAGAAAAATAATTATCAGCCGTCTCGGTTTGTTGAAGTCTCGGCTCTTGGTGGTATAAGTGATGCGAGCCTTGTACTGTTCAAGCAAGCAGTATTAAGTAAGTCATTGTCATAAGATTTAAAGAAGCTGCTTATTTGACTAGTTACAAGATCCTGTATTGTAGAAGCAGTGCTTGCATGTTATGTTTCTTCTTATTCTTACTTCTCTGTTCCACGAGTTTTGGAAGAAGAGAAGAACCCGGACACTGCTACCTGGGAACCAGTGGCGATTAAGACTGAGGAAGGAACGGAGGCAAATAACAGACTAATGTCCAGTTCATCAGATTTTGACCATTCTAATTTGCAAGATCAACTTTTTACCACTGCACTAAAATTCATTTCCAATCACAATTCGAAGCTTCAAGAAACTGCGTATAGCGCTCTAAAGGAGGTAATCGGTTCTGAAATCTTTTTATTCATATTTGCCGCGCACGTTACTTTAAAGTTTTTCGTTATTTTATGACTTGTTTCATTTATCAATGTTTCAGTTGGCATTGAAAATACCGCTAAGGACAAATCTGATTCGCAGTCATTTAAGTAGTATTCTAACGTTAGTTGGAGGTGACACTTATCGACCAATAAGTAAAAATGTGGCATCTCAGTTGCAGTACTATGCTAAGCTTGATTTCAACGCGTTTGACGAAGACTTCATTGCAAGACTGGAGGTTTCTGCTGCTTCTTTTACTCGTTCTGTCCTTTTTTAACTTGGAATTGTTTATTTTTGTTTTACGGTTTTTAAATTGAAACAAAGTTATTGTATTTTATAAAATTTTCTTTTTCAGTCTCATATGAGATTTTGGCCTGATCTTCTGCAAGATGTAACTGTAGATGATATTAGTTCAGCATTAAAAATTCTTGAAATGCTTGCTGAAATTCCAGCAGCCGGGCCCCAATTTATTGAAGTTCTGACCGTCACGTTTGCGCATTGGGACACACTGCTTGTTTTTGATGTGCATTTTTTTTTACTAGCTTATTTGACTTTTTTACTTTTTTGGAATGCAGGTTGTCCTTATTTTGTTTCGTTTACTTATTCTTGCTTCAGAATTCACTCAATTGGCGAAGCCCGTTATTAAAGTATCTTGTGAGGTATCCTCTGGAAACAGTTCGTTTCTTTGTTTTGGAAGAATGTGTAACCGATGAAGGGATCGTGATACTTTTTAAAGTTCACTTTTTATTCATTTGCCGGTTTTTTCATATTATTTTTCCATATTATTCTTTCCATTACAAGTTAAATTTTCTTCTCTACGTTTTTAATTTTACTGCTTATCATCTGAGTTCGTTTTTTTTTTTTACAGCAAATTATTAAACACAAGGATGCAAGTCGTATACGTGAGGTGCTAATGGCTGATAGCACCTACTTTTTACACCTTCTGCACGGGGAGACTTTAGTAATATTTTTAACATTTTTTATCAACTCGTCCGATTAAAAAATTTTTGTCGCTGATTTTTCTAGAGACGAGATAACTCTTGGTCCAAAAGTGTGTTACATTTATGCGACATGGAGCTACTTGCTTTAAAATTAATAGCTAGCGTTGGAGAAAGTCATTTAAACTGGGCTTCTAGAGGTAGCGTGGACGTTGTCAAAACTGTTCAAGCCCTATGGACTGACAAAGATTTTCGATCTAGATACACAGCCAAAGTATATGCTTTTTTTTTAAACAGAATATGTCCTTCAAGGTTTTCGCATTCAATACTAAGAATATTGTTGTTTCCATTCTTTACTTATTGCTATCGTTTTATCGTCACTTTGTGAAGCTTTAACGTATAAGCGAAGAAGACTAAAGACGCACAAAAGTTCTCCTTAATTTGGATTTACGGGTCTTTATGTTTAAAATAAAATTCTTCAGGACTTCATAGAAGAACCACGTTTTGAAGTGCCAAAATTAGCTGCATTAATCATGCTTCGGTACTTCAGGTTCGTCTTCTTTGTTGTTGAAAGGTTTTGAAAGGATTTCATTTGTAATTTTTTTTTCTGCTGTAGGAGACTGACTTTCAGCGTTTGAGATGCTTTTTATTCTATTTTCTTCTTTACTGGTGAATGATTTTCTGCTGTTTCAAGTTTACAACATTTCAGAGCTAATATCGACGATTTGGGACTTCTTTACGATCTGTGTTTCGTTTTCTTGAATCAGTTTACCAGCGATTTTAGTTTTTTTAGAATCTTCGTTGAGGAGCAAATAATACCGGTTTGATCGTGTTTTAGTTTTTACTTTTTTTTCAATGCTCCTCGGTCGATATCTTTCTTTTTAAGTACTTTTTCTTTAGGTTTATTCAATTGAATGGCTTTTCTTTAGGTTTATTCAATCGAATGGCGTCAGAATGCATTGAAGTATGTTGTTAGAAAATTTGAAGAGGACCCTTCTTCTGCTCATAACGAAAATATAGTGAAGATGCTGCAATATGTTATAATTCCTTGTCTCCATTATGCTTTTGAAAGATATGATGTTGATTTGGTTTGTTGCTAATTTCCGTTCTTTTGAATCGTTTTAGTGTTCCTCTCGTCTTTGTAAAATCTTTTGAGTTAGTTCAAAACTGTCTTCCGGAAAAGCAATTTAATTCATCTTTGATGACGTTGTTGACTGCGTTCGAAAAATTATAGGTTGTCGGCACTCCTCCAAACCCTGACGTACCTGATGATAAAAACCTAATATCCTTAATGTGCCACAAGGTCATGAATCGTTCAAAGTTTCAAATGAGCGACTCCATGTTGATAGCATTGTTCCAATTGGGCTGTTTGTTTGTTAGCAATTGCCCTGCTCACATACATAATTTCGCTCAAAAGTATGTTGCTTCTTTCGTTGGTTTTGAACTATATATATATACATGGCCATTACACGCCAAATCGCACAAGTGTGAACCTCGACCTCTCAGATTTTTTTCATTTTTTGGCCACTTGTAGCACTCGATACCGGATTTCAAAATCA